TGAACTTATTCCTCAAGTAGATTAAGTGAAGGAGTATGCTTCCGCAAAACTGCGTCCAGGGTTACGTGCATACTAGATCTCAGGTTTAGATGAAGCATGGGGCACATCAGGTGAGATGATAGATTTCTGACTAACCGCTTGACCTTAGTTTAAGTTGTACTCAGTTACGTTAACTATGCATATTGTTTCAGCGTTAATTAAGTTGTACGTAGTTATACTAACTATCGGGGTCTAGACAAGGGGTTCTAGAAGAACCGCTGATTAATGTTTGAGTATTACATGGGTAACTGTAGGGGGCTAAACAGACCTACTATTTAAGGTATATTAAATAGTATTAGCCACAAACCTCTGGCTAAGGATCAAACTGGCGAGTTTGTGATCGTGGGGCCCACGTAGAGCGGCCGCCGTGAGGCACCCTGAGCGACATTCCTAATGAACGAGTAAATATAAAGTAAAGAGTTAACTAGAATAATCAAATGTCAGAAGAGTAATAATAATAATTAGAGACAGACAAACAACCAATTTGCCTTTCAACCTAAATTCGAGGTCATACTAAAATGGAGTCAGATTAGAATTGAACTTAAAATTGAATAACTTAGCGCGCTGAAAAGACCGAACACGCAAGAAACCTTCATCCACCACTGGATACCTTCCTTGGGCCAAGTGCGTGGACCTTACACAACCATTATGGAATGTTCTGTATAGGTTCCTTTTAAGTTATCGCAAAACACCTCCCTGCAGTGGTCTGTGAAGGTTTGTTTTTGGTTTCCAAAAGAATCTGCAGAGAACATTCTTATTTGGTTTCCAAATAATAACCAAACTGGAACCAGATGGGAATGTTAGGGAGTGTTGTGCGTTTGCTGCAGCCTCGTTTTCATCCATTAAAAATTCAAAGGCATCTACCCTGACTTAAAGTGTCTACTACATCTTCAAAATGACACAGTTACCTGTAAAGGAACATAAACTGTTCCTTGTAATTTCCTCTTCCCAGCCGTGTGCTGATCTCCAAGGTGTAATAATGCGTCTTGTTGAACCTGTTGATGAGCAGTCCGTCATGGTTACTTCTGTCATGTAATAACGGGGGTTTTCAAGTAAAAACACACCTGTTTGACTCACTTATTTAGCTCTTCTGGAAAATTATCCACCGAATCTCCGCTAGAATCCACAACTTCAAGAATAACGATGATACTATCTGAAGAAAGGGAGCGACGAAAACACAAACCATTACCATCAGCGTCATTGTACCGTACAAGCTGCTACTCCCCAGAAGGATTATCAGACATTAAGATAAATCTCATGTAATAGACTTCACATGTATTTTACATGACTGGACTTTTTGTAGGTGTGGATGGGCCTCACCTTGATCAGGGTTTTCAGCACAAACAGATCTGAGAGTTTTGATTTCCCAAATTTCTGGATGTTGAAAGTGGTGACCTTCATGATGCCTGTTGAACATGAAAGAAACCAAATTAGTGATTTATAATGGCGCTTTCAATGAAACTAATGCATGGAATGACACATATAATAATAGAGCTCATTTCTGGCCATGCCTACTGCAGTCATGACTTTTACACATTCATGAATTACTTAATCATGCAGTTGTCAACAAATGAAGTGAAACACTCTTTCATCTTTTCTTAGAAAGCTGTTGCTATCGCTTAATTATTATTTAAAGCAATTACAAGCGGAAGAACCTGTTTCATGAGTTGCCTGAGCTGTTTACTAAGGCGTTCACACTGTCAATTTTTGGGATTGACAACCGCATTTACAATTTTTCTTTACAGGTGTGAGTCTTGAAATGTCCCGTTCACACAGCAGCGTCTCGATAACTGTCTGTATGAACGTGCAACCGGAGTCAAGCCCGTATTTCTTACTAGTTACCATAGCAACAGTGACCAAAGAAATATCAAAGATGGCGACGTCCACAAAACGTAAAGTCTTACTACTTTCTGACAAGAGTCCAATCGAGCCGCCAGTTCATCTGTCAAACCTTGACTAACCGACACCAGCTTTTATATTTGTGTGGAGAGCGGATCATTTGAGTCGCGGCAGAACACAAAACTGACCGGAGCGGCTCCGGTGGAGAAAAACTGGATCTAAAACTTTCAGATGACACACAGCTCATTTCTCCGTCACTGTAAGTTACTGAAACCACACATGAAAACACGCAGCTCACGGTAGACACGCGTTTGTGCAGCAGAGCTAGTTGTCCAGTCCTGTTCAAGAATGCGGTTGTGAGTCCTCAACATTTAACTGGTGTGAGTTTGGTTACAGAATGCGGTTGTCACGCCTGAAAATAACCGTACTGTGTGTGAACGTAACCGTATTAAGGACTCAAATACAGGACTGACAACAGTAGCCTATTCTGCTGCTGTGTGAACGTGGCCTTTAAAGAGTTTGAGATCACCAGACCAGCACAACACACAACAGCTAAATGTGTTTAATGTTGCCTAAAAAAAAATAAAAAAGATAAATTTGATCTAGTGGAGAGGGAAATTTAAATTCTAAACCAAGACAGAGGAACATGTCTGTTCATTCACAAATGCAACCGGATGAAAGCCGCAGTTTGACTAAACAACAAGAAAGGCCATTTTAGTGACTTGGTGTCGGGCCAGTTGGTGCAGAGGGACTTTATGCCCAGAGGGTTTCTCTATGGCTCTCTGAATGTGGCAGAAATTTGTTCCAGTGCTCGGACATTCCTATACAAGGAACATATGGACGACAATCTGTCGTGAACATGACACCACCATCCGAAACCTTATTTGTGACTATGGCTGGATTTAAACAAAAGAGTTTTCACATTCCATCTCATTCAACACCACACAAATAGAGACAAGTTTGGGGGCTTCATTTCCAGGTTTCCCATTCGCGGGTGTGACTGAGAGGATTTTTTTTTTAAATTCAAGAGAACAAAAGCATATATTTTTAGAATATTTTTTTCCAAATAACATGGCAGGAATATAAAAACACAAGAAGCTTGTTTGATGATCACACTGCAAAAAATTACTTTCTTTCTTGGTATTTTTTTCTAGTATAAATATATAAACCTTCTTTAATCAAGATACATTTACTTGAGAAGCAAAATTACTGTTAAAACAAATTACTATTTTACGAGATACTAAGTCATAATTTTGAGAAAGTTTCTCATTATTATGACTTACAGAATTATATTTTTTTCTCAACTGTGGCGGAAACGGGCTTCCATATTTAAAGTCTTGTTTTCTGATAAATGTATCAAAATTTTGTTCGTTTTTGCTTAAAACAAGAAAAATATCTGCCAATGGGAATTTTTTAAATCTTGTTTTCCCTTTGAATTAAGATTATTTTTCTTATCCCATTGGCAGATTTTTTTGTTTGTTTGTTTTGAGCAAAACAAAATGTTAATACATTTCTCAGAAAATAAGACCTAATATCTTAAGTCATTTTGCTTATCAAGTAAATGTCAGCTAAGTAGCTAAGAATATCTTTTTTTTTTTTTTTTTGCAGTGCAGATGCTGAGATAAAGTTGTCTGGACACTTTTTAAACTATTTTTTTAAGAATTCTAAAAATGAAGATAATTTAGTCCAAGAACAAAACTTAACTTACACCAAATATTTTTTTTTAGAATATTCTAAATTTAAATGCCAAACTACATGGTAGGAATATAAAAACACAAGAACCTTTCTTGAATCTGTGTTTTTGTTTTTTTTTGGTACCAATTAAGATAAAGATTTAAGGACTGAAAGAACATAACTTAACTTACCCAAGTATTGGTCTGAAGATGCACAAGAAAAGGACTGTGGAGATTCATAAAAACTGCAGCATTACTTATATTGGACACCTGTGACCTGATTGGCTAGACGCAGGAACCAGTCGAGTGACTTGGCCCAGCCCCAACTTGGACATCACTCAAAACAACAAAACAGTTCCTCCCTCTGGGCAAACATTCACTCGGAAGTGGAAAGCTAAAGAGTGCAGGTGAGTTCAGACAATACAATCATCCTCATTACAGCCACAACGCATTTTAATTTGCGCTGGAAGGTGGAGAAATAATTGCCAGGTTGGACAGAATGAGATATTGAAGTTGTTCGAGAGCCAAGTAAACCGGTAAAGTAAGAAAGAAGCGAAGGAGCCTGTTTCCATCAGTCAGGTGTAACAGGAAGCTGCTGCCTTGTGGATGCAGGATGCAGTGTGCTTATTTTTGGAAATATATAGAAACTGAATTACAAATTCTGCATTTGAAGGAGACACTTTGTCTTGGACATTAGTTAAAGTGGATGTTTGTTAAATTATTATAACTTAAAGTTAAATATTTCCCTACACTGATGTTACATTCAACGTCAAAGGTCCTTTGTTTTCATAACTGTTGTTGAGATGGATTCATGTCCAGACAATCCAGGTGTGTTGTCGTTTTTTTCCGCTTGAAATGCAGTCAGTGCCTCCATAGCGAAGTGAAATACGACTACAGTAAAGACCAGTGAGCCAGAAACAACATGTCAGCTACAACAGGTTCAGATGATTTGAGGAATTTAAAAAACAATAACACGAAAATGAATCTCAGGAAAATGGCGGGAAATGTTTATTCAGGTTTAGGTAGATAAACAGATAGATAGATCAGTCATGTAAATGTTTAGCAAAATTATCACATGAAACTATTACAATTTTTAAATAGAGTAGATTGCCGCCAAAACATTGCATTATGGGAAATCAAGGTCAAATTCATTATGAAGTGACTTGTTTCAAGGGAATATGTTGTTTGCAAAGCATATAGGGAAACCAGGTGGTTCTAGTGACATTTTTATACCATGCTTTATTAAAAAAATTAAGTGCACCTGCAGGTTTGAGTCTATATACCCATTATCCTGATGGGTGAGGTTTCACAAATGCAAATTCATAAAAAAACGTCCCTTGTTGTTTTTGACAGTCACCTCAATTGATCTTTAAACCCATGGCTATGTGGTTTCCTCTAGTCAAGCCTGCTATAAAATTACTATACAACCAAAGAGAAGTTCTGTTATCAATCGGAGAGGCCTCTATAAATTCTCCATTTTACGAGACATCTGTGCGACAGAAACCCTATCTGATTTAAAACAGGAAGTAGGCATGGCCTGTTTTCAAATGAGCAGCCATTCATTATTCACTAGCTGCCTAACGGACAACACTGGAAAACAATTTGAGACTTCATAGTAAACACAAGCAGCTTCGGTAAGAGCTGATTATCTGTTTATTAATTTATATTAAAATAAATTGAAATACATAACATGTTTAGCTTGTATTAAATAATAGATATATAACAGATTTAAGCAAGATCGATGATGATCCTTGAATGTGTTAATATGGGGTTTTTCCACTTCATACTGGTGCATTGCAGCTTCTTTCAAATCTTAGATGAATTTATTCAATCAAAACTAATTTTGTGTTGTTTTGAGTACATTTTGCTTTCGAACTCTCGAAACCCGTTGTGGTTTTCCTCTCTGTCTCTAACGGATCTCCTGTGGTCCTGCATAATCTGACATGTCAGCTCTTTATAAACTATAAGTACTTCCTGTGAATGAACAATGCATCCTTGAATTATCTGCTAAACTTCCTTTGGCATTTTACAACAGGAAAATGGTATAGAAATGCCAACAGACCTGAAAACATCCAGTGTTTCTTGTCGTGAAACTCATTTCACTTTGCGATGTTTTTCTGGTCTTCTGAAGGTTGACACCATGAAGATCGCATCTTTTAACATCAGACGTATGGGTCCAAGCAAACTGTCAAACAAAAATATTGTAAATTATCTTATTAAGGTAAGTTTATTATCTGATTGTTTAAGAAAATCACACAGTAAAAGCTCATAGGAAGTTATTAAAATAGACCACTACACTTTCCCTGTAGATCTTCTCTCGGTACAGTATAATCATTATTCTGGAGGTGGTGGACAAATCGGGCAAATCTATAGACAAATTTCTACAGGAGCTCAACAGCACCAGGTCTGTATGAACCTTCAGAGATTCTCTTCACCATCTGTAGCTCAAAAGCCTAAACTTAGCCCAAATTTAACTCCCTTTTTCTCCCACAGAGCTAATAAGAAACATCCCTTCACAATGGTCGGAAGCTCCAGGCTGGGACGCACTCTTTATAAGGAGCAGTTTGTCTGTTTCTACAGGTACAACAATTAGTAAATTATTGAAAATTATTACGTTGTCAGCATAAAAATTGGAGCAAAAAGCAAAAGTTTTGAATCATGCATTTCAAAATTTTGTAGCATTTGATACATCTCCCTTTTCCCTTAAAGGGTTAGTTCACCCAAAAATTTAAATTAGCCTATAAATTAGTCACCCTCAAGTCATCCTAGATGTATATGACTTTCTTCTTTCAGACGAATCCAGTCGGAGTTATATTAAAAATTGTCTTTGATCTTTCAAGCTGTTTAATGCCACTCAGCGGGTGTTGCATGCATCCGTCCAAAAGAAGTTAAATAAAAAGCGCCCATCCATAAAAAAAAGTGTCTCACACAGCTCCGGGGGGTGAACAAAGGCCTCCTGTAGCGAATCGATGCGTTTTTGTAAGAAAAATATCCATATTCAAAATGTAAAAATCACTTGAATCTAGCTTGCGCTCACTGTTGTAAACGGAAGCAGTTCCGGGGAAATGACGTATGAGGGCAGCGCTGCGCATGCGCCGCTCAGAAGTGACGAACGCTGAAACGCAGCGGAGAGATCAAAACAAAACAACGGTCACTAATTAGAAGTACAAAACGAGGATTTGTAAAGAAGAATGTCGGAGGATTTCGATATAAGCCAAAAGGAGACTGGTTTTCCTTTGCTAAAGTAAGGAAACTTTGCTTCCTTTGATCCTGTAAACAAACGTTGGTTTTCACGAGACTCACCAGCGCATGCGCAACGCCGACCTCATACGTC